TGAAGATTTGAGAGTAAAACAGTCTCACCTGTTAGCCATAAAGACCAGGTTATAGTAACACACCAGTAGCCACAATGACGTACACCTTTAATTACAGTGGTGCATGCCTTTGATCCCAGCACTAGAGAGGAAAAAATACAGGGTGAGACAGCTGTACTTCTGAGATTCCTGGAGATAGGATCACCATTTCAGACTAAAGTCGAGGTAAGAGCCAGTGCCTGGCTGTTTTGCTTTTCGGATTTTCAGGTTGAACCCCAATTTCTGACCCTGAGTTTTTATTAATCATGTTGCACATTTACTTTTTTATTGTTCTTTCTCTTCACTCTTAATAAAAAAACAATCAATTGCCTAGCTAAAGCCTGGATATTGTGTTTCCTTAAGTAAGCAGGCAAACAAGTAAGTCAGTAAGTAAATAAACAAATAGGCAATAGATAGATAGATAGATAAATGATATATCCATAGTGTCTATTAGCTTATCATATCAAACAGCAGAGTGCCTGAGGTAGCCCTGCTTCCTTGTCCTCACCAGCAGGGCACAAATCAGAAGTACAAACACTGGAGGGGAGAAATGAAAGGGTGGGTAGGATGCTGGAATGTCATGTCTGGAGATATCCCTAGCTGATAGGAAGAGATAAGGAAATGCTGAGGGTCTGCAAATGTTTACAGGGGGAATGTTAATTACTTCTGGAGCCTATTGATACAGAAAGAAGAAAGATAAAGAAAAAGTAAGAATAAAAAAAGAAGAGAAAGAAAAGAGTTGGGAAGAAGAGAAGAGAGAATATTGGACATAGCTAGTGAGTAAAAGAGATTTTGCTTGAATTTTGTGTTGTATATTCTCCCATCAGGCATTTCTTTATCTTTCTTCTTTCTACTTCTTTCTTACTACATGGAAAAATAGTTCCTATAGGTTGGAACTACCCATTCTGCTTAGCAACAATCATCATGAAGTGTATAGAATACAGTGGAAATTTGTATCAATAGTAGCCATCCTTTTCCAAAATAGAAGGTACCCTTAATAAGTATTAGGCAGTCAAAGTGACAATAGAATATGTATTTGTAAAGCTGCTAAGTATTTAAGACTAACTCTTCATTTGGAGCAGTCTAATTAACTCTTGGCATAGGAGAAAAAGATGTCATTCTGAGAAGACATCAACTTCCTTAAAATCATATATGTTGTTTATATAATGAAATTTAAACTAGATAAAGTGTTCTTTTCTGTATCGGATACCAATAGAGACCATCAGGCAAGAAATTTATGGAAGAACAACCAAATCTGACTTGTTAGTTTATGTTTCTAACTGCTTACCTGACAAGCAAATGTGTTTTGAATTAAGCTCTAAAACTGCACACATTTCATGCCGATTTAACAATCTAATAGATGAAATCAGGTAAGGGGAATAAGCATATTTGTGTGATACTAATTCAGATTTGACTTGTAGAATTATATACTTCTCATACTAATCATTTAAAAAGTAACTTTTCAATGTTTTATATTTCCAATTAAATCATAAATATTAAAAACAAAATACATGTCAAAGCCAGTCCACATTCAAACAGAACTTCTGACTTCTGGTCCAGATGGTAAATATACTTATATCAAACAAAGCTAACTTGTTACTGAGATTTAAATTTTAATTATGTGTATATGTCCATGAATAGAGGTTTCCATGAAAGACAGAGGAGATGGAATTCAGGCATTTGTGAGCTGTCCAGTGTGAGCTCTAACTCAGATCTTCTGCAGTAGTAGGATGTGCTTTATCCCCTCAGCCATCTAATCAGCCCACAAAGCCAGCTTTAATGGTACATTTGAGCTTTTAATTAAGACAGATAACTCAAAATGCCAAAAACTTGCATTGAACAAAAATTAAAATTTCTTGTTTTTAAAAAATATTAAAAAGTTTGTTATGTGTGTGTGTATATATATATATATATGTATATATATATAAGTAGTGTATTGTGTTTGTGTGTGTGGCTGTGTCTGTCGTGTGTATGGATGTATAAGTGAGAGGTGTTTGCATATGTGTGTGATGTGTATATGTGTGTTGGCAAGGGTGAACTGTGATAGACTTTCTTATTCATGTTCACAGGTATTTGGTCACAGTGAAGAGGAAGGAACCTGTTCAACATCTCAGAATGATGGACAAACACATTAAAAACCCACAGGCAAAAATGACTGGACTTTATTATTTTTACAGATTTTTACACTGTTTTGATGGACTGTAATTGATAGTAACATGGTAATGCATTTGTGTAGCATATCCTATTACACACACACACACACACACACACACACGAAACAGAAGTTAAGAATAACTCACCTGCCCGATCAAGTCCTTATATAGAACATAGATAATACTCAGTCTACCATTAGCAGAGTGCTGTTCCTCAGTGTGCTCTTATTTAAGACAGTTTGCAAATGGTCACTACAAAGGAGCAGTTACTTTTATACATTTTTAACATTATTGCTGTATTCTGGGCTCTGTACTTGAACTTTACTGCCCAGCCTGCTGTGTGCCACCTCCAGATCAGACTCTAAGTGACTCACATATATTTTTCTGCTTCATTGTTTTATTGACTTCCGTGCTTTTAGGTTCTAATCCTAATAATCTATGCTGTAACCTGAAGAATAATGTATACTCACATGAAGAATAACATCAACAATATCTGTGCTTTGCATGGCACCCTTCTTTGGCTCTTTTGCCTATGCAACTAAAACTACATCTCTTTATAGGGCTCTCAACGTCTCTACCATTTGTATTTGCCTTTCTTTTCTTCCCTTTAAGTCTATGTCAAAAAAAACAGTTTAGGAAATACACTTTAGTATGAGCAGCTTTGCTTATATTCCTCCTTTCCACTTGTTGACATAATTTGAATGCTTTACTCTATCTTATTCCTTCCTTAGAAAGCATCTTAAAAATTTTTATTGAAATATCCCTGTTCGGAGCTGGAGAGACTTCAGGGGTTAAGAGCATGCACTGTTCTTGGAGAAAACAGTTCAGTCCCCAGCACCCCTGTGTCAGCTCACAACATACTGTATGTCCTGTTCCAGGTGATTTAGTGCCTTCTTCTGGCCTTTGCAGGCAATGTAAGCACATGATACACAATCATGCTTCAGAAAGAAAGCAACCATTACATATAAAATAAAATAAATCAATATTTTATAGAATAATCCCTGGTCATTCTAATTAATGGCTATTTCTCCCCTTGCTTGAGAAGCACTGCCACTTAATCACCAACTCTGAGAAATAGCCAGTGGGTAAAAAGAACTTTCAATAGTGCCACTAAATTTACAATATACTTTCTTATATATTTCTCATTTATTCCTCATATTAACTTTGTGAACAAAACAAAATCCTATAAATAATCATGTTTAGTAAATAAGTAAACTGTTCTTCTGAAAAAGGGAGTCAACAGACATGATTTCAGAAATGCGGAGCATGCTTTTAGACAAGCAGAGCACACTCTAATTACACAGGCTTTCTGCAGTCAAAGTTCCTGTAAATAAATGGGTGTCAAATCATCCACCAGAGGATGCCTTCTTTCAGGAATGTGTTTGCCTGAGATATCTTTCACAATGGCAGACAAAACACTTAGAGTTCTCTGAGAAGATGAGTTTTTCCCCAAATTTTCCCCATGCAGTTCAAAGACCAGCAAAGTTATCTACCTGCTCTGGGGAACTTTTTGGAAATGTCAAAGTGTTGTAAAAACGCTTGACAATCTCCAAAATATTTATCTTTATAGAGTAGGAAAGACAACAGATCAGAAACAGGTTTATAACGTAGGCAGTCTTAATTTTCCCCCACATTCTGGATCCTAATAAAAAAGGACCCAAAAGGCTGCAAGGGAGGATTTTAGGAATTACACTGTATCACAATTAAGTAAACTTTAAACTCTCCAAAGTCAGAAAATTAATTCATAAGCATTTTAATATGCAAGAAAAATGGGTTAAAAAATTTGTTTGGAAACTCAGATTAAGGCAATTTATTTGATACACGGTTTTCTTTGCACCAGTGGTAGACAGTACTAAATATTTATGTGAGACAGATAAATGATGTATACTAGAAAAATGGAGAACACAGAGAAGAGTTTCCTGGTGTTTCAGCCTGAAGGGAAGAGCATCCTCATATTCTAAACATCTTCAAACAGGGAGATGTGGGGTGTAAAATAAATCAAAGCATGGGAAACCTTATATTCAAACAACTTTACTCATCATGAAAATGCATCAGTTAACATTTCCAGTTGATCTCTTCTTCCAAATGCCTGGGTCAAGATTGTTGGAGCAAAGTCTTGGAGTAGGAGTCATGGTAATTATCTGCTTCCCATACTCTTGAAAGCAACTTTTCCTGATCTGTGTGTTTGCCACAGAGCCTTACACATTCCATGTGATTCTATATGACACAAGAGCGAATGTCCGAGTCTATGGGCTTCTGATTACAGCCATCCGTATAAGGGTATCAGCATGATTCACTTACCAAGAAATTTCACTGTGAGCACTTGTGGTCTAGACTAAATTCAGTAGGCACCCAGTAGCCTACTTTTATTTACTAAGACCTGTATTGCAAACCTTGAGCTGACTGACTGGAAATGCGGGTTGCACAAAACTGGGTTGGTAAGGAAGAGTGTATGAATCTAACAGGAGTAGAGGGAGCAAGTGAGTATAACCAAATATTTCACAAAACATTCTCAAAAAACAATAAAACAAGGAAAAGTAGATAAATTTTATCAGAAGTGTGTGTATGTGTATGTATGTGTGTGTGTATTTTTTTATGTACACTCAATACCCTACATACCCAGGATACAAATAGCTCAATAATTTTGGTGATTTCAGACATCTACTAGAAACTTGAGACCTGTCTCCTTTGGTGAGGCTTCAAGTTTATTGACTAAGTGTTGCATATACATTTGTGTGCAGTTTGAAGGGAAATCAGCAGAGGGTGCTGCCTCTTCAGATGTGGTTAATGTCTGCACCTATGTGGTGGCTTCACATGACAGACTGTCACTATGCAGAAGGAGACCTTTGTTTATGAGTGAGGAGTTTCAATAAGGTCCCAAGGAGATTTGCCCTGTGAGTTTGGTGAACTCAGGAACCAAGTGTCATATGCTTCTATGAACATGCTTCTTGATATCTGCTCAGTTCTGCTGTTCCTCTTAATGCTCAGTAAGTTACATTTGCCTTAACAATGATGGTGTCATTTTCTTACAACTATGGAAGAGTGTGCCTTTGTCTTCACATAGAAAAGTCATTTCTTCTTTTTTATTTTCAGAGAGGAGCAATGGAGACTCAGTGACCCAGACAGAAGGTCTTGTTACTTCTACAGAAGGGTTTCCTGTGAAGCTGAACTGCACCTATGAGACCACTTATGGAAGAACACCTTACCTTTACTGGTATGTGCAATACCCGAAGAAAGCCCCTCAGCTACTCCTGTGGAGCACCACAGACAACAAGAGGACAGAGCACCAAGGGTTCCATGCCACTCTACATAAGAGCAACAGCTCCTTCCACCTGCAAAAGTCCTCAGTGCAGCTGTCTGACTTTGCCCTGTACTACTGTGCTCTGAGTGACACAGTGAGGGAGACTGCAGGGGAAGCTGCACACAAACCAAGGGTGTAGGAGGGCTGAGGGGAGTGGTATTGTGAGGGAGAACTTTATGCCTTGTCTTCATGGGTTTTACCCAGCTCCTGAAAAACAGTAACAGAGCTGAGGTCATATTCCTAGAAAACTAGGAATTTGGGGATATTCTTACAGAACAGGGTGGAACTCATTGGCAGAGACAACATGGATTTTGATCCCCTTTAATACTGTTCAGTGTGTGAGCCATGATGATCCCTGTGGCAAGCATAATATCAGGCAGTCAGTCATATCTATAGAGTAGTAGCTAAGAGCTTAAATCTGATCACCAACAAGAGGCAGAGAGGGAGAGGGAGAGAGAGAGAGAGAGAGAGAGAGAGAGAGAGAGAGAGAGAGAGAGA